TTTTAATAGCCGGTCATCCTACAACCAGCCACCGGGAGAAGGTTCCATTCCTGCCAAGCATCCGTGGATGGAATGGCACCTTCTCTCGGTTATTTTCGGCTATTAAGATAACGCGTTTAGAACTCTTCATTATCTTTATTGTATGCATTTATTTAGTAGTGGGGTCAAAATAAGTTCCCAAGATGAGTGTGCCACCATTACGGCCTGAATTTTGTTTGTGGGAATGATTAATGAAGAAGAAATAACGGTATAATTCACGGCTCCGTATTCTGTAGGCTATATGACTTATGTTACCAATTTGTGTTGGTGTTTCGATTAGTGAACTGTGGCCCGAGTACTCTAATGCAGCTCTTTTAGAAATAACTACGTGTATTTATACTATGTTTATATAACTCCTGCACCCCTCTAACTTTTTTGAGATTTGAAAATTTATAATAAGTTTTGTTTTGTTAGTCACAAAAACGTTTGAACTCTACATTAAAAAAAGTATATATCAAACTTACCAGAGGGGTTCTTGACGAAAAAGCCGATGGGTGCCCGCATGACGGCGTTGAACATCATGTTGTGAAGATTGACTGATGCTCGGTAGGTGGCGTAAATGATCAGTACCGTAGAGATGATGGATAGAAGGACCGTTAGACCCTCAAGGCCGGCGTACATCTTCAGGTGATAGAGCGAGATGGCCCCGGGGACTGGCCGGGGTTGTCCGCTCGGGAGGGTTTTGTTCAAGTGAGCGATACTGTCCACCCTGTGGAATGAATAGACAATGTTTAGTATTTATGTATTTAATGCCTGAAACATATATATATATATATATCTCCTACAGGCAGTTTTCAAAGAATTCCCATTGTAACCATTAACCGTTGTAAAACATTGCAAACGAGTCTCAGAGAATGTGAAGGCATTATATTTTCTGATTTAAAACTCTCCAGCACAATTATACACATTATATAACATAGTAAAGAACTATCTCTGACTAAATCAAGCTCATATACAGACATTTAACATGCTATTTAACCCTATCTAGACCGAGCTTTTTTTTGGGCTTCGTGGGACGGGAAGTTCTCACCCCCCCCTCCCAAGAACTCGGTATATTGTATAACCACCATTTTTTAGAGGATGGTGTACTAGTAAAAAAAATAATAACAATTTTGATGCCGTTATGACGTAAGACGTCATTATGACATCATTGATGCGATTTTATTGGCCAAACCATATAGATAAGATATTCCCTAAAAACTATACAACCTAACCTTAATAAAAGTGTTATTGATATAATAAAGGGTGTACTGATACTTATGCTGCCCATAGCAACACCGGTGGCGTCATAAAATGACATCATGCATATTTCAGCTATCCGCCATCTTGGATCATTACAGATGTAATGATGTGGTCCACCATCTTAGATTTTAACCAGTGACGTCATCAAATTATGCATTTTTAATGTTAGAATTTACATATAACAACATAAAATGTTATTAATATTAGAAACAATGTTTAAATAGACAGAAAACCCATAAAATTGTATTGCTGAAACGAAAATTACTAAATTTAGCAAAAAATACCTGTCAGAAATCCGTTGCCATTGGCAACACCAAAACTCATCATCTTATTCCACTGATACAAAATTGTTGCCAACAATATTCTAGGACACGTCATTAAGTTGGTGGTTCTAGTACAATCCGTTCGGACGCGATCCGACATCAAAGTTGGCGCGGGAACTTTTAGCGACCCCCCCCCCGGTCTAGATAGGGTTAAACAGAAATAGTCTCATTTACTTACCAATGAGCTACCCACCAATGCGCGAACAGATAAGAAACCTGAAACAACATTGAAAATTAAATTACAGTTTATACTTCATTTGATTTTTGAGCTACCATGATTATAGCGCAAGATTTTGTGAAATAATCATTTTTATATGTTATGAAAGTTTTTGCCCCACCATGTAGTGATGGTACACTCGGATATGTCATCGAACGTTCAGCCACATGGCAACGACCGTTTCAAATTGCAATGACCCTTACTTCTGTTCACATACAATGTAGAATCCACCAAAGACTTAATTCTTTCTATAGACGGTTTTTATTTGCATAAACTGTTATAGACTGTTAAGCTGCCCATAGTTTCTGCAATGTCCTTTGTTAGTAGGGTAAGCCCTACAAGCTATTTTGGCTGCCATTCTGTGTGTTTTGAACAGACAAATAAATACATAAATAAACAGTCAGACTAGCTATAGTGTGTAAAGAAAGTTTGCATGTACTAGACTTCACCGACAGCACATCATTCCCTTTTTAACTGCGTTTCTCTTGCACTACATCAACAGTCTTTATTCACTAGAACATCTTACCTCAAAAGCTAGGATAAAGAACACCATCATAAACAGGTACCAGCGTGGAGGTCCTGATGTCAGATATTTGACGTACACCCGCCAACTCACGCTTCCTTCGACTCTCTCTTCCTCCACAAAGTTGGTATACTGTGAACGATTCAAAATAAAAAAAAAAGAATTGAAATAGCTAAAAATCATTTAATTCAAATTGCTAGGTTTTTGCCTAAATTAGTAAAAATGCCACGAATTGAGTGTACAGCTAGCTGCAGTCTCTAGTGGACCAAATCCCTTTGCCTGTTATCTCTCTATTTGGCCATTTCCAGTCCTCTTTTGGGCTTGGTAGAGGCTAGCCTTGCGTACAAACTGCGCTGCTGGGTCAAACAAAAATAAAGTTTAATAAGCCTTTGTGTGCCGATAGCTGTCAAAAGATCGAAACAAATGGGATTAAATCCATCCGTTACTCTGAATTCAGACTGAATGCAGTTAGGGCCCTCAAAGGCTAGCTCTCCAACACCGAGTCAAACTCGAACCTAAGGAAATTTTACTAAAGCCATTCGAGATATATATCAGACGCTGGGGAACAGGGCCCAGTCTGGCATCCGGGCTAATGTACCACTCCACCTTTCTATGTACATAAAGGCATATATAAAGGTAAATAGTGGTTACTAATAGTAAAGTTCCTTCCAGGTGACTTCCTTCAGTCCTTTAAAACTCGTAGTTGTCACATCGACTTTCCTTGCTACTTGTTGAGTGCTGATGTCTATGTTATGTCTTGCCATATACAGAGTACAGAGAAGTAGTTTCTGGGTATTTGGCTTACTTCGTCCTCATCTTCCTCGTCCTCCTCCTCCTCGTCCTCCTCCTCATCCTCCTCGTCTCCCTCCTCATTCTCCTCGTCCTCTCCCTCATTCTCCTCATCCTCTTCCTCCTCGTCTTTATCCTCATCCTCCTCGTCTTCCTCCTCATCCTCCTCGTCTTCCTCCTCATCCTCCTCGTCCTCCTCGCCCTCCTCAATCTCTACATTGGTTCTGCTGCTCTCTGTTGAGCCTTTCTTGTCCACCGCAGTTCCTGAATCGTCGTCGCCCTTGCCTACTAGAAGTTGCGCGAAGTCAGCTCCAGACGCCAAGACTTCTTCATACGTTCCGAAAGAGACCTGGTTGCCCTGAAAAACAAAACACGACGAGGGCATCGTAAGATAAAATGTGCGGCTTACATTGATTGAATTTCCTAATTTGATCACACACATTCGTTATACGTAACCCCAAAGCGTATTCCTGTCAGCCATACAGTCAGATCTTGAGACGATTCACTTTAACATATGAATAATGTACAATCAAGGAGCTTGTACGTAGAAGCTCTTTGGTACAATGAACATACTTATCGAACATTAATCAATCTACATGATTGTAAATGTAGGAAAATTGTGTTTACCTTGTCCAGAACCAGAATCTTGTCAGCTTTGTTTAGAAACTGGAGCTGATGTGTCACCAAAATCCGGACTTTGCTTCCCAGAGCTCCCAGTATGCACCTAGTGCGATGATAGATCGTAATTACAGTTAGTTGCAAAGTAATACCAGAAGGAAAATTGCAATTAACATGATAAACATGTGATTCATACTCTGTCTGCCATCCGTAAATAATATCATCAGGTCGGTAAATGATTGAATAGTGGACTACTTTTATTCACAACCACTTGCTTCTTGGAACAAGACAACAAGCTGATTATAGAATTAGTTAAACACCTAATTGAACAATGAGCCGATGTTTCGTTGACCGTCTGTTATCAGGGCTAATTTGGCTAGTTTAACCCTCAAACACCCGAACTTTTTTGTGACGTTAATGTCCGAACGGGGCCCAAATGGAACCCATTTGGTTTCTTTCAAATTTATATTCCTTTTTGTATCCTTTCAGTGACCTTTGCACATATATTGGTTAAACATATTAAGACGTTTATTTTGGCATGATTAAGTGTTAAAAAAAATTACAGCTCATTATCATATTTAATGCAAAAATAGGATGAGGCCTGCAGGCATGAACATAGGGTTGACCTTTGACCTCATATGATTGTCAAATTGTCAAACCTCTTAAAACCTGATGAAATAATTCCTGAGGTGGAGGTAACTTGGCAAATTGCATAGTATTAAAGCAATAATGCTCCCTTGAAGACATATTGAGGACAAACGAACAATTTCGTGTGTAGGAAAGTGCAAATACATGGCTGGGGTCCGTTTGCACCCCAGACGGTCTTACAAATTTGTGCCGATCTCAAAAAAAATTAGGAGAACTTGTAGAATGGGTTTACTGACATAGCCACGGGAGGATTTTTTTTTAAATAAAAAAATCAAATAGCACATAAAAATATACGTCTGGGGTCCAAATGGACCCCGTTCGGGTGTTTAAGGGTTAAGAGGACTCTTTACTAATCATATTTTGTCTGACCATGTCCTCTTTCCTCAACGAAAAGCGACAGCTTTGCATGAATTAAGAAAGGTTAAAAAAACAAAGAGGAACAAAAAATATAGAACAGGATGTTTTATTTTACTTGTCGAAGAGTTTTTTCCCAACCGCCGCGTCCACCGCACTGAGAGGATCGTCTAGCAAGTAGATGTCAGCGTCAGCATACACAGCCCTGAAAAACAATTTCTAAATTATTAATATCATTATTTGAATGTTGCCATAAATTCTTAGAATGATGTTTATATAACCTGCAGTACCCTAGATTTAAAATGATCAACTTTGATCGAGCACTTAAACTTTGCAACGATGAAATAAAAAAAAAGTTAAGCGACCAAAAAGAATATGACAAGGGAAGAGTTTTATAAAGGAGATACCATAAATATCTGTGTTTTGTCTATTGTAATCAGTCGACCACTGTTCTTGTAATTTAGTTAGGATATATTTGGAAATATCAAAGCTGCGTAATTCAGCCTTTTTCTTTGTATTTTTGGGCTGCAATGTATTTATACGTCCATTTGTGAATAAACAATTTATATTTACTATACGTAAATGTTAGTCAAATAACTTATACTTTGCAAAATAGACATTGCAGGTAGCACCCACTCTCCTTTGGCAGCAAATGACAATGTATTGTCTATTATGGATTATGAATATTACATGAAACATATTTAATTTTGTTTAGTTTTCATTTCATGTTTATCCATTTTATTCAATATAGCATATCAGAAGTACATTAGTACTTCGTAATTGTGGTATACTTATTAAAATAATTAATCAATAAAACACAGGGCAAGTCCAGTATGTACGTACGAATGCACAAATAGAACATAAAACACAAAAACACTGCATTTGACTAGTGTAGTGTAGAAAATACTTATACTTCTATTTGTTCTAGCCTTTCGGATCTAGCAGTTCTTAACCACTACGTTGCTTATCGACTTATGAATGGGATATTTTACCTTGCCAGGCCGAGGCGCGCCTTCTGACCCCCGCTCAGGGTGACTCCCCTATCCCCGACAAACGTCTTATCCCCGTACGGCATGCCCTGTATATCCTGGAACAACCGGGGAAAAGCTTGCCAAATAACAGTTTATTCATCTATTTGCTGCAAGCACTTGGAGACAAAGTGCCAGAAGCGAAAATGTCTTAAACCACAAAATGCGTCAACTACTTAATGTATATGATCAAGTACAGTTCTGGATCGTATCAGCATATTTAAAAACACATACAAAAACTTACATTTGTCCAAAGCACGGTTATGTATATGTATGGATGATTTATGTATGGACTGGACTGCCAATTTCAAAGTCCGACCTACCTAATAATATAAATTTCCTGTAAATTTTATGGTATTGTGTTTTGAATTATACGGCAAAAAAAATGTGTGGGTTATACGATAGAACTGTGTCCAAGCATGTAGTTTTGTGTTAAGCACGGGTCTTGATACAGCGCTAGCATTACGTACCATTTCCAGCTCGCTGATGCTTATCGCCCTGTCATACTTGTCTTTGTAGAATGGTTTCCCGAAGTCCACGATATTGTTTATAATGGTGTCGGGAAAGGCCCACGGTTCCTGGGCGGTGAAAGCGAGCGTTCCTCGCACGTCCACCTTACCCTCCACCCGCACAAGCTCCCGCATTATCGTGCACAATAAAGCGGTCTGAAACATACCGAATGCCACATTGTATACATTGTAACTCACACACAAACTGGAAAAGCAGAAATTTGCACGCGAGAAAATGCAGTAAATTTCACTACATCTCACTTTACAAAATGGAATGTTCAAGACTCCTCCCTGTGCCAACGAATAACATCCAGAAATTCTGACCAATTGCAGTAACAATATCAAGTTATGTCATAAATGTTGAGGTCTATACTTAGTTGTGACTAATTGGGCAAACAGTTTCAAAAACGGAAACATCGAACACAGAAATCACCTTTCCAGCGCCCGTTGGTCCTATGACAACAATCAGTTCACCTTCTTTGACGTCGAACTTGATATTCGTCAGTGTTGTTTTCTGAAAATAGTGTATTCTCCATGAAAATTGAGCATTCTTTAACTTCGTCAACATGGATATAGATATATATTTATTTATAACTATAAGGCTTATCAAAAACTTCTTTTTTTCGAGTGGTCATACTTTACATACATTACAGTACATTCGACTTGCTTCGTTATACATAGATTTTGGAATAAGATCTAAAATAAATAAAATGGAAGAAAAAAAAACTGTGAAAAACGAACATAATACAGCTTTATTATTTAAAGAAACAAAATTGAATTTTTCTCGACCAAATTTCAATACTCTTGTGCGGAAAGCCAGTTGCATAATTCGCGTTGACATAGTTGACAACGTAGCATCATCACAAATTTGGTACCTACGTACACACAAGGTAATAAACAAGCTTTACAATGTCGTTGACTAAATTTAAAAAAAACTAAGATTTTGCACGTAAAAAAACTCTGTTGCATTGATTTAAGCAATAACCTGATAAAAATACTGTCCGAATATTAGGGATTTGAGTTCCTAATTTTGTACTTTTATTAACCCTGACTAACCGTCTTCCATGTTGCAGTGCTGAGGTCCATAGTGACTCCCTTCGGGCCCACCACCTCACTTGAAGAAAGACTCATTTTGCACAAGTCTTTGCTAGATTCATCCATGACAGGATTTGGAGGCTGGTACTCATGTAGTACAACAAGATTCTACAAAAAGGAAGTGCCGAATTAGGTTGTAAACTAAAGCAAGTTCTTCACGTGTAATTAGCCCAAAAGTACTCTCCAAGCAGAGGTTTGGGTTTTGGGGGTATTTTTGGTGTGTTTTTAGGCTTTTTTATCGGGGTTTCTCTTTTGCACTGAATTTTTTTTCCCCACCGGGTTTGGTGGGAAAAAAATTCAGTGCAAAAGAGAAACCCCGATAAAAAAGCCTAAAAACACACTAAAAATACCCCCAAAACCCAAACCTCTGCTTGGAGAGTAGCCCAAAAGTACTTGTTATAGAACTGCAGGAGCATTTGTGGAAAAGTATTCGAAGGAGGATAACTCAATGATAATAACTCATGATTTCTGAAGTGATGCTTGACATAAGTAAATGAAAATTATGCATATCGGGAGCTAATTTGCATAATTTTATTTAAGCAATAACCTGATAAAAATACTGTCCGAATATTAGGGATTTTACTTCCTAATTTCGTACATCTATTAATCCTGACTAACCGTCTTCCATGTGACTCTCTTCGGGCCCACCACTTCACTTGAAGAAGGACTCATTTTGCACACGTCTTCGCTAGATGCATCAATGACAGGATTTGGCGGCTGGTTCTCATCTAGTACAACAAAATTCTACAAAAAGAAAGTGCCAAATTAGGTTGTAAACTAAAGCAGGTTCTTCATGTGTAATTAGCTAAAAAGTACATATGAAACTCGAAAATAATTGCCCACGAAATAACTTGATAAGTCCTGGTGTTGATGGTATCAAACTGGATTTAAGTAATCCTGTGCCTTCTGCGATATTATTACCTTCGCCAAGAGTGTTTTGTTTTCAGTAGCGTTTGTCCGTCTGTCTGTTTGTTTTGTCTGTCTGTGAACAGCATAACTAAAGAAGCTTAATTTGTTTGTTATGAAACTTGATAGGTCGGGAGGTCTTGATGAGACCTGGAAATTATTAGATTTTGGGCCCCCTGGTGGCTTTTCTAGGTACTGCAACGTAACTTCTGTTTTTTATATCTCATGACCTAGACATGCTAGGGTCATTTTCCTTGGTAGTGGGCTAGAGAAGAAGTGACATGAGTTTGGGCCCCCCCTAGCGGCTTGTTATGGAACTTCAGGAGAATTTGTTGAAAAGTATTCGAAGGAGGATAACTCAATAACCATTTGGTGGATTGTCGTGATTTTTGGTAAGCACATAGCTGAAGTGATGCTTGACATAATTAAATGAAATTTATGAATATCAGGAGCTAATGTCATCATCATCATCATCATCGGTCGGCTGCAACGCAGGCGATCACAAGTCCATTCCACGACCGCCTGTCAGCAGCCAGCGCAGCAATGTTGTCAGGGCTCAGGTCACCTTCCGTGTCCCCCAGCATGTTCTGGATGTAAGTCAGGTAGCTCATCCTCTGGCGCCCAGGACGCCTTCTGCCGTGAGGTGGGACGTAGAGGGCGTAAGTCCTGAGTGGCTCCTCTACTGGCATCCTCAGGGCATGTCCAATAAAGCGCAGTTGCCGCTGCAGCTGCCTCACTCTGAAGATCAGAGGTTGTGTGTTTGTGGCTTTGTATATTTCACGGTTGCTTACGTGGTCTATACGTTTGATGTTCAGCATGATTCTGAGGCAAGATGTAGCAAATGAGTTAATCTTGTCCTCCATGTCACGTGTTAGCACCCAGGTTTCGCAACCGTACAAGAACACCGACACACAGGTTACATTAAAGAGCTTGATCTTTGTGGCAGTGGGGAACGTCGGATTTCTCCAGATCTTTTGAAGTTTCCAGAAAGCGGTCCAAGCGAGTGCCTTCCGCCTGGCCAGGTCGGTCTTACTGGATGCCATCATTGATCCTAGATATCTGAAGTCTGTTACATGTTTGATGGGCTGACCATACACTTCCAGTGGTGGCTGTGGGTTGCAGTTGATGGTCATGTATTCGGTCTTAGGAACACTTATGACAAGACCTAGTTGTTCTCCTGCAGTAGCCGTTCTATTGAGTTGTGATTGCGCCTTAGGTATTGATGCCTCAAGCAGAGCGATGTCGTCAGCGAAATTTAGATCGTTTAAGATTTTGGCTGGGTGCCTACTTGACTGGCGAGGGTGTGTAACTACACCAGAGCAAGTATCCTCAATGGATTTCTTCATCAGATAGTCCACAAGTATGATGAACAGGAAGGGGGCAAGGACATCCCCTTGTAACACCCCTGTGGTGACTTGGAACGGTTTTGTAATGTTGCCATCCACCATAACAGCACTTTTTGAGTTGTTGTAGAGTACGCTAATGGCGTTGACGATAGTGACCGGAACACCATAGTGGCGAAGAACAGCAAACATAACATTCCTGTTGATGGAATCAAAGGCCTTTTTGAAGTCTATAAAAGTAACTATAAGTGACAGTTGGTGGGTTTGGAAGGCTTCAATGATCCTGCGGAGAATGTGTACTTGCTGCGCACAGCTTCTACCTTGCCGAAAACCTGCCTGGTTGTTTCTCAGAATCGGGTCTACGTGTTCCCTTATCCTTGTCAAAAGGATTTTGTTGTATACTTTAGCCGCTATGGACATTAGGGAGATACCTCTATAGTTGGTCATGAGGCTGAGGTCCCCCTTCTTAGGTAGGGGGACGATGACATTAGTAGTCCATTGCTCTGGAGGAGTAAGTGTAACAAAGACTTCGGAGCAGAAAGCGTGTACAGTTCTTGCCATTGCATCCCCACCCCCTCTTAAGGCTTCTGCAGTGATTGCACAGTCCAAGCCAGGGGCTTTGTTGCTTTTCATAGTTTTGATGGCATTGACTGTTTCCTCGAGTGTGGGTGGGTCGACACAGATGGGAAGATCCATGTCGGCAGGTGGAGGGAGGACAGATGTTTGTGGTCCGCCATCATTGTTCAATAGGTGGGAGAAGTACTGACTCCATTCCGTCAGAAGCTCGCTATCGCTAGATGGAGGGGTTCCGTCTCGCTTCTTCACCTTTACGTTGGCTTTCCTGTTTTTGCCTGAGAGTTCATTGATGATCCTCCATATGGAGATGTGATCACGTCTTTTGTCCGCTTCTTCAAGGGCATCTATTTGTTGTTGTGTAAAGGCAAGTTCATCGTGCCTATAGGACTCGTTTAGGCTCGAGTTGAGTTGCCTCCATATCTCTTTGGTGCGACGGGTCCTTGCAAGCAGATATTTCTTCTTTGCCGAGTCTCTCTGCTCACGTAACTCCAGGGTCTTGTCTGATACCCAGCTGGGCATTCCACAGGATTTGTGTTTTCCCACCACCTTTTCCGCTGTCTCTGCTACAGCC